TTCAAGTGGAGAATCTTTACCACGTCAGAAGGGAAGTGAAAAGTCGAAACAATTACTGAGACAGTTAAAACTTTATAATACTTGTCACTAGGCACAGTTGGAAACTGTTCCTGGTTTATCATTGTTTTTTTTTTTAATTTCAATTTCGTTTACCCAGAGTTTTTATAATAATTGCATTTCATCAAAATAATTTAAAATAAGTTAAAATTTAATTAGGGTACTTGGATCATGTGGGTCTTTTAATTCGGTCAATTCCTAGTGTAAGTTATTTGTCAGTAGTAAACTGTTAAATAAGAAAGTTGCAGTTCAATGTGAACTCGGCCTTAGGTTTCGCAATTCATCAATGTCATTAGTAACATAGGATGTTAGATTGTAAAACGTGTACATACTCTTGTATGGTGATTATACGCTGTTGTATGTCTAACGGGAAACTAATTAATTAACTATTAAATTAAGATTATGAATTAAGTAAAAATAATAATAGCCATACAGAAGACAGGCGTTAAGTGGAAGCAATTCCGCGTTTCGTGTGATGAGGGTGCGTCTCGAAGGCCTAATTTTGTCCTCTTTCCCTTCCCACCCTTTTTTTATAAGAAAAGGATGAGATGTGGAAGTGGACTTTCCGGATGAGAGGATGTAAGGGAAGGGAAAATACTTTCTTTCTGTGTATCCTCTATTCCGTCTCTTGGTTACATAGTTGTATTTCAAATATATTTCGGCTAAAAGGTTTTTTCTTTATCGCAAATTTTGAAACTGCAAAAAGCAAAATTTCGATGCATCTATTGCCATCTGTATAAGAAAGTACCCAATTGTTTCGTTCCGTTCCGTTCACGGCATGGAAACAAAGGCCTAAAAGCACCTATGTTTTTTCATTACATTCCTATTTTACAAAAGCTTTAAGTTAGAAGCGCATAGCGGATTTAAAAAGAAATTATATTTTTATTGGATATGAAGACTATGAAAATGTTGTACCGATTTTATTCATTCTGAAATCTACAGCTTTATACAAATGATGTGGCTATTTATGATATCACCGTTATGTCTGGTTTACATTATGCCGGTACAGTAGAACAGTAGCGCTTAAAATCGGCATTGGCATACAAATGCCATAATGCAACTGGCGTCAGTGAGCCAAAACAGTCCATGCCAGGCCAGCGTGCTCCTCAGGAAAAGAGCAATCCGCCAGATTGGAAGCTAAGTTTACCTGCAATATTTTATCTTATTTAAATGGGAACAAAAATAAATTCATACCATCACTTTTTCCTTTATTTGTAATTAAAAAATCGCTTCACTTGTAACTTAACAATCACATATTACTCCATTCGAAAACCCCTTGTTATGTTAGCTGTTTGTGGAATTACTTTTTTTTAATTCTCCGTCGACACACGCTAGGTGTTGTATATTCATTAGGATCGACATGAAAAAGGGTTTCCGCTTTAAAATACTCGGTTTTACATTTAAACAATATTTTTATCACGGTTTAGTTCGTCCTTTTCAATATTTGCAGTTTTATGTTCAACATATTTACATACATCTTATAAAATATTATACTACTTCGATTCCTTTTAATATTTCAATTTGAATTTGGAAGTGATTACAATAAATTGATTCTTACGTTTACAGCTTTGCAGAGAGAAACGCAAACAAGAGCTTTTTGGCTTATGTAGATGAAGGCTAGCAACATTTTTTAATAAGGTTATTGTTTTCCACATTTATCTTATTAGAACTACCGGATATCTTATTCTTAAGTTAATTTGGTTAGCAATTTACATCACTTTATAATCTGCAATTAAAAATGTTAAGGGGTTATTATAATTTTTAATATTGCGAAAATACTGATTTCATATAAGAAATGTAAGCTTTCTCATACATAAAATTGCAATAATCACGACAAATTGTAATTCGCAAATTGTTTGTCGGTTATTTGTTCTTTCAAATATGCATGCACGCAATGGTCATGCACCTCGATAATTATACCGAAAGGGTCACGTTTGCTAATGTGATATAAATAACGAATGACGTGACAACTGGACATGAAACTTTGTACTATAACTTGAATATCAATACAGCAGTGGTAGAGTTCACTTTAACATCTTCGCACGAATGGGCCTGTTTGCCCGGTGCAATACCACGACCACACTGAAGACCTCAGTCAGAGTGTGCCTCTCGTAGCCCATCCTATCCTCCTTCTCTATCCCATTCCACCCTTTTTCTCATAAAGAAAGGATGGGAAGTGGGAGTGGATTTTCCGGATAAGAGGGTGCACAGGAAGGGAAAATATATTCGTTCCATGCAACTCCTCTCCCGTCGATTACATGTAGGCATTGCAATTGCGTGTCTATGGCCAACGGACGCTTCACTATTTCAGCGATTTCTGGTGGCCGCTCGTTTTCCAACTTATGATATAAAAAATCGGACTTTGTCTTATAATAGGTCTATGCTATCAATATGATCAGAGCCAAACTTTTTTTAATTATTTTATTTATTTACTTGTTACCAACAACATATATAGTATAATTTACCATATATATTAGTACACAGTACAATACAGTATATATGTTAGTTAGTGTTACTATATAGTATAATTTACTATACATATATGTGCATTAATAATAGGTTTTAAAAATAATAAATGTTTTATTTCATCTGTATGGTGATTTGCGAACTTCACAGATTTATACAAGGTAATTTATTACTAGAAATAATGAAATGACCATTCATGAATAATATCAGGTCGTTATTATAAAACTCTATAAGTCGGACTTATAACGATTAGTTTAATGTTAGTAATTACAATATAACATATCTATGCGATTCATTAAATTTTAGTCATAAAGGTACATTATTTTTTGACAAACTTATATCTTTTAATAAAATTTAAATGTTTTGCAATTTTACTCTTGCGATAAATTAAAATAATTATTTTTTTAAGCAACACTGACAGTAACCTGCTGGGTTAGACAAAGTACATTCCCTTCAAAGCGATTCCATAGCGAACTTCAAAATTCTGATCTGATGCGCGAAAATCACGTGACTAATCGAAAGTTACTGTCAGTTCTATACATTTTTGAGGTTCGTTATGGAATCGCTTCGTAGCGAATGCACTTTGTATATGATGATGATAGCTGATGGCACTAGAGAAAAAATACGAATCGAAACACCTCACGATCCACAATCTATCAAACGTAGTCTACCAGAGATCACAGTAGGACGGACATACGCATGAAAACCATTATCAGGAGGATAGCTATCGGGCAAAACTAAGGATTCAGAAGGAATTACTTTTGCATAAAACTTGGGGTGCATTAAGACTCGAACTTCCTTTTGTACTTTCCCCTAGAGACCCTCTGGATGCAGACCGCAGCTCATTTGATGTTTATAGTTGGTTAACAAGAGAAAATCCCAGCAAACGTCACGCAAATGGCTCAGGCACGTGCCGATACCCCCGCGATAACTGCAAAACATTTGCTAGACGATTTACAAACATACCATCTGAATTAATGCTTCAAAGATCTTAGGGTTCCCATTTCATTTAGTAAAAAACAAATATCTTGTGCATTGATATACTTTGAAAGCTTACGACTATATACTGTTTGTACGGGATTTTTTTCTGTCATTGATGTAAACTCGTAAACTTTATTTTTTGGCAGTAAAAAAAACTTGAGCATAGTTAAATATTTCACTTTTCCATGTTTTTCAACAATTAATATGTCTTATAAAAAAAAATTGTGTTCGTTATGCAGCTCTTTAACATAAAATTCTGTGTTTAAGTATTGTGCAACATAATATTTATAGTCAGCATATATAACATAATATCTTAAGTCTTGTGCGGAACCCTAGTTATGAACACAGAATGCACTTGACAATTATTATACGGTTAGTATCGCCCCTGACAGATAAATTGTTCGGTTATTGATTGGTAGTTAGCAACGCCCCAAGTGATACTTTACGTTGTATGAATGTCCTCGTATGCTTAGGGTACATTAATGTCTACCATATTTCTATTAGTATTTTTTGTACATCATTGTATTATTCCTCAATATCTTTCCTAACATTTTTAGTATCTTACAAGAATATGTATCTCGTAACACTGAGGATCCTTTATGAATCTGAAATTATGTTTTTTTTAATTCTTCGCGGACGGAGTCCAAGGCGATAGCTAGTTGTGTTATAAAGTTAAGTCTTAAACCTTAAGTTACGTGAATGGTGGAGCCCTCAATAACATCTTTTAGACGATTGAGCGGGGACACCATGTGAAAGACTACGCGTGAAGTGGAAATAATTAGGTGTTTCGTCTGATGAGCGGAGATCTAATATTAATCTTCTTTCTGTTCTGTTTGGCAGATTCATATGGTTGTTATCTTGTGCTATAAAAAATGTGTGTAAAGTTAGTTATCGCAAACGAATATACGAAAGTGGTGTCACGTCTTTGTTCACAATTTTGGTGTCTTGATATGAAGCAAGGTATTCGAAATCAAATGATCGTTGCATTTCTTTTGCGTATCGAAGCGGGGACTCGTCATTTGTTTTTTTGTTTCCATCCGACTGAATAGAAAACGTTAACGCCTACCATGTGTTTCGAATATTCAGTGCGGTGTTGACGTTTTTATTCTCGTCTCCTCTGTGTGAAGATTCGAAATAATTGTTCTTTTATGGTTTAATATAATACCAACGCCGAGTGTTTAGTTCTTGATGACAGTTTGATGTCGTGATAACAATTTATAGGGCATGTTACGAATATTAAATATAAAATTGTCTACGTGGTAATGTCATATTTTGGGATATATGTCTTTCTTTTATAGTTTTATGAGGGAAGTTATGAGCATAAAAAACACTTAATCTAACTATACATAACCTGTCTTGGTAGATTAAGTAATTTAGAGAGGACTTAAAGCGAATAGAAGTGACCATAGATATAGGCAGTGTAGCGGCCGCAGTTTCGGAACTTGACAACTTTGTTATATTAATAGTAAAAACTATTAAATAAAAGAAATATTTGATAAAATTCATAATTTAATGGAGTCATTTATTTTTTTTTATAAATTAACAACGCGACACTTACTACGTTTTAATCTAAGGCCAATTCACTTGCAGGGACAGCCTTGAAGAAATCTTTAATGGAGGTAACGACTTCATCGACGACGGTTTTAATGACTGGAGGTCCAACTTCTGTGATGATTTCATTGCCGCTGTTTGCGATGACGTCACGGGCTGCACTCGCTAGATATAGAAAAATATTAATTAGAAATTAAATAAATGTTATTCTGCGGCAACAACTTTCCCGTCAAAATTGGTCGATATTACGTTAGCGCGGAAATGAAATTAGTTCCATACTATTCCATTATATGAGATAATTTTATATTTCTGGTTAGGCTTATTGATTATCCTGCATGCATATTGTTCCCTTCAAAGTTCCATTAAAATCGGTATTGCCATTTTGGAGATAGTATTCGAAGTCTTTAAAATAGAAGATAGTTTTGTAAATTGAAGATAGATGGCGTTAGGTTTAAGATATTCTAATGTCTTAAATTGTAATAAAAAAATACATCAAATGCCATCAAGACAATGTAAACAGTTTTTTTAAACAAATTTATACATCGTAGTTATGAATTTGTTTTAAAAACAATACCTTTAACTACATTTTACATTTTATTATATACTAACCCAAAACTTCGTTGCCGTTGAATAGATTTTCGAAAACAACTTCTGAGTTATCTTTCAACTCGTAAGAATGTTTCCATTGCTTGATCTCCCAATATGCAGATTCGAAATTAACGTCAACCTCGACGTTGACTTCCGCTTTCCCTGTAATAGTTTTATTATGTTTAATTATTATTATTATTATTTCAAAGTTAACTAATTATATTAATATTATGCTACATATTTATGAAATGTTTGTAAAATAATCAATCCGCTTTGAGCCAGCATAATTCACTCTGACCTAACCTAACCTAATAAAGCCCTCGATAGAGGCCACGGTCCAGTCGGGCGAAGTAGAACACCGCGGGGTTTAGTGTTTAGTCCAACCTTAACCCTAGGGCCAGGAGTTCCACACGAAACCGTCCCTGTTGTCCCCTCAGCACAGACGGCGAAGTGCAAAAACGCATTCCCGCGTTAACAAAAAAAAAAACTATGCCCTCGACCCCTCGAATTTAAGACTTATTTTATTTACGTTCATTATTTTAAACTTTATAATGTTGAATAAGGAACAATTACAAAATTCCTTAGTTTTATTAAAATACGCATTTATTTCTTAAAAACAAACTGACCTTATTCATACATTACGGAAGCTATTAAGAATGACCCCAAATTATTACTTTACAATTTACTCATAATTTAAATACTAATTAACCAAATGAATGAGTAGCGAAGGTGAGCAGCCCGGAAACTTATTTACTTAATTGAAAATTATAATGAGGACAAACAGTGTAATATATAAAGATATTGCGGAAAGGAAGACAAAGTTTAAATCGCAAATTTGTGCTTTCGCACATTCTAATCCGTCGTTTGCTATCTTAATTCAGATTACACTGATTGGAATGCCATAAAATCCCCGGGACGCTTGTTTGATTTAATGATGGCTGTTGTAAATTAAAAAAAAAATAACATACTTAGCTTGACATGAACCGGCCCTTTGCCCTCAATAGGCAGGATCAACAGCTTGCCATTCATCTCATAGGACCCGTCCATGTCTACTGAGCACAGCAACTTAAGCAGAAGTTTTCCTTTCGCTTTGTCAATTCTGTAACCAAATTGAATATAAGTTTTTTAATGTTCGTGTATCTTTGTACGTTAATATAATTATTTTTATATTTACTTGACAAGGTTCAAATATTATATATCATATACATAATAAGGAGCAAGTGGCCACTTCAATTCGCCGAAATAGCGAAGCGACCATGCCCAGACATCCGCAATTGCAAATGGGTTGCTTTCCTTTAATCAACGGAGGAGGGGACGCACAGAACGACATTAATTTTCCTTTCTATGCATCCCCTCATCCGGAAAATCCACTTCCACTTCCCATCCTTCCCTTGTAAGTAAATGGGGAGGAAGTGGAAGATGACTAAAATTAGGCCTCCGGTACTTCACTCATCAGAAGAAACGAGGAATTACTTCCACTTGATGGTTGTTTTCTGTGCGCTCGTGGTATTTCACCAGGCGTGCCGGCCCATTCACGCAACAGATTTTCTGGCGACTACCGCTGTTGAAACCGTAACTGTATCTAATTTATAAACAGGAAAATAAAGTCACTTACTTCGACTTTTTAGCTTGACAATTTTTAAGGCCTTTGAATGTGACATCAGTTAAAATTAGTTTCAAACTTGGTGAACTTGCGTCGATTTTGTGGAAAGTTATGGGATCCAAAGTTTTGACACCGTATTCTGGAAGACCATCTGCGAATATTGGTATCGCAGCAATACTCGATGCCTTCACACATTTTGAATCGTCCGTTTTACATTTGTTGATGAAGGGCACTGTGGAAAAATGATTTGCGTCAGAACATGGATTTTGCAGTCAGTACCGACGACGGTTTTAAGAATTCGGCGTTAAGCGAACTTTTGTATATAAAGTTGACCTTTGTTAAACACAAATAAAATATAAACAAAGATAACATTTCTCTAAAAAAAACATAAATTGATTCTTAATTTAAATAACATTTATTTTAAATAATACCGAATTTAAATTAGGATTTTCATAAGGTATTTTAATTTACAAACATTTTATGCATAATGTAATTAAAATGTAGTGAATACAAAATAATTTAAACCAATTTAAAATGTTAACTAATAATAAATATGTTGAAAATAATTTATGCGTTTTTATTAGCGATAATATTAAAAAAAATATTTCACTTCGAAATACAATAAAATAAATTATAACAAAAATTTTCATGTTGTGTGTTTAAAAATGTAATAATTATTAAATTAAAGTTCTAAGAACAAAATGTTTTCATTTACCTGCTTCAATAGAACAGGACACTGCAAAAAGGACCGTTAAAATTAAACTTATTTCCCGCATCGTGCTCGGAGATTGTGACAATGAAAACAACGAGCAACTCTGATACTCCTGAGGTTATGTGCGCTGTTATTAAAATCTCAGCATTTATATGATTATAAGACGCTGTCAAAACCAGACTAACAACTTTATATGTGATGACTCCTTTAAGAAGTTTTAGGGTTCCGTTCAATTCTTTCTATTGGTTTTGACCTATTTTAAGGCAGACTGTAGGAAAGTAGAATTCGAAATTTAAAAAGATTAATTTAAACTACCGCTGTTCTTTCTATAAGGCCTCTGCAAAGTTAATTTGTCCGATACATATGTATGTATTTGATTTAGATCCTCTTTCAAGTCATGTTTAAATCACTTATTAGGTAATATACATTGCAATGTAATATTTCCTGTAACTATTATTTAACTAGCTGCCGCCCGCAACTTCGTCCGCACCGAATTAAAAAATAATAATTAGTAGCCTAAATGTTCTTCTAGGTGTTCTACATTAATGCCAAAATTCAGCGAGATCCGTTCAGCCGTTCTGAGTTTTAAACAAACATCCATCCAAACATTCGCATTTATGATAGTAAGAGTAAGATGGAGAGCTATCTCTAATTCTCATTTGGATTGGAAGTAGGTAATTATTTATCGATGACTTTTTAAGTCGATTAAGTACTTATATACATACCCTTTTATTTATTCATTTTTATTTCTTTTATATTTTTTACTGTGTACTGTGTATTTTTGTTTTTGTTTTAATATATTTTTTTTTCAGTTATTAAAATGTTTATTTTATTTAGAGGTTAATTTCAAGGATTTCTGCATAAATATGGTTAACTCTGTTTTTCTAAAATAATGATAAGGATGACTATATATTTTTATTTGAGTTTTTACAGAAGAAATCCAAAGTTAATTTATGTTAGTTAACAGACTACTGCTTATATTAACAATACGTTATAAAGTCTGATTTTTTTATAGATAAACATGTTAATTATTTGATTAAACTTTTTGTAATGAATAAACTAAAGATTGATCCTCGAGTTGTTATATCGAAAAAAAAATTTCGTGAACATAACGTATTTGCGTCGCTCATTACTAAAAGTAATTTTAAGAATGTCTGTCTGCCTGTCCGCAAAGCGTTTGTTCCGGGTAAACGGCCGGCCCGATTTTGACGCGAGTTTGACGGGAATGTATCTATTACTTGCGATCATAATATCGACTTTTTCCGCACCGACGAAGTCGCGGGCGACAGCTTGTAGGAAAATAAGGATAATTTCTACTGAAGACGTGTTAAGGTAAAATAGGGTACCTATTCTTATTTTACCTTATTCCGTATTAATAACCTAATCTTATATTTATATTATCCTCATAATTATGTATATTATAGAGGTAAATGCAGTAAATGGAAATTTTAATACATAGTTCTTTAGTCACCCAAAAGACGCTATTGGTTAGTTATTTCAAAGATCTTTGTTCAATGACCTTGGACTGTCCACTGTGAAACTACTTTTAAGGATACTTCAAGTCCTTAGTTTTGTGTTACACTTGCGCATAAATGATTTCAATAATGTACCTGTCCAAATACGTCTTGGTCTGCGTGTTAAGGAAAAAAAACTTAGCTTATATTTCGTTGCGGCGTTATTAAGTTATATGAAAAAAACATGTCATATAGGTAACTATTTTAGGTAATAAAGTAGTCTAAATTCCTTTTCAGCTTATTATTATTTACACAGATCAAAGAATATTGCGATCATTAGCAATATTAGCATATATTTTCAAATGTATTTTTATTTAGATGTTTTGTTTCTGATTGTTTGACCTTTTTTTGTTAGTGGTTGTAAACTTTGGTGTGTATATGTTCCAAGTTTTATCTGTATCTTTATAACATTCTTTGATTTATCTGGTAACATTAATGCAATAAAAATATCAATAATGTGACTAACGTTAAGAGCATAGTAACACGCTTGAGATCTAACATAAGCTAACAATTGGATGCCATGTTCGTCAAACATGGTCAACTGTTTTTAAAGAAAAAAGGAAGACAATAACAATTGACAGTATTACAAATGTCATAGAAATTGTACGACAATTAAACGACTATGTCCTTGATCTTGAAATTACTAGATAGGAAGTAAATCAACTACTTCAGAAGTCATCGAGATTGCAAATAGCTTAACAGTGTACTTGAGACTTTGCAAAGTTCACGATTGCTAAATAAATGTTTAATATGTGTTAATAAATAATAATATTATAATAAAACCAAGGAGTTTAGTTATTTGTACTAAGCTATCGTAATTTATTCAAGTTGAAGAACACTTTAGGTTATTTCCTAAAGATAATCACGTTACGTCTCGTTCTGACAAGAATGGCGCAGTGTAAGATGTAACAAAACTTAATTTAATAAACCAAAAACCACTGATCTTTTAATTATAACATTCTTAATCAAATAATATTTAATACATAGATATAAAATCTCTAGGTGGTGCTTCACGCTCACATACATGTTGCTATTCATACAAGATTTAATTATTTTGTTTATCTAGAAAAAATTAAAACTCCAAACATTTATAACAACCTTAACATTGTGTTATCGGGCGCGACTCCGTTCGCCCGGAATTAAAAAAAAAACTTAATAAGTAGCCTGTGTTCTTTCAGACTATGTCTACATCTATGTCAAATTTCATCGAGATCCGTTTAGTCGTTTTGGAGATGCCTTCTAATAAACATTAGCATTACATCTATCTAAACATTCGCATTTATAATATTAGTAAGAAAAGATAAATATTAATAAGTGATTTAAAAATGTCACGACTAATTATATTAATAAACTAAGAAATAACCTCGAGCTCCGGAGGTTTTGAAACAAGCCTTTCTATTGTGTTCCAAACACTATGTAAATGACTAAATCTATGATATCACTATATTGAAGCTAAAAGTGCTAATATAATGGACATACATACAAACTAAAACAAATGAAAAACACATACTCACAATAATATGACCCTTCTGTCTGTCGGACAATTAGACAGTAGGAGATAAACATGACGAATTACAAATAGTCAATTGACCATCGTGTTTAGTTTTTATGTTTACGATTTGCGATGTAAAGAAAACACAGTTTAAATATTTAATAAAAAAAACTGACCAAGAACAGATAAATTATTTGTTCAAAGACCGCTAAGTGGTTTATTGAACATCATACAGATTGTTTAAAAACTTTTTTTTTACATACAAGATGGAATAATACTCATTCTACGACCTTTGGTTGAGGTTGGCAGGTTTTATAAAGCAAAAAATTATATTAGTCAGATATATGAATCAAGGAACATTTATAAGTACCTAAATCAACTCAAAAAGTTTCCATTAAACAAAAACAACTGGGTACGAGGGCTTTTAAAAGAGCGAAGTGTATGTACATACGTGGACTAAAATTTGGATTTAAGGACAAACAGTCATCAGGCGAAAAGTGGAAGCGAATCCGCTTTTCGGCTGTGTTCTATGTGGTCCTGATATTGCATCGGTTGAGCTTGCAGATCGTGCAACATCTAACTTGCGGACTTTGCCGTTCCCTTCCCATCCTTTTCTTATAAAGAAAGGGTAAGAAGTTTATTTGACAGAAGGGATGCACACGAAGAGGAAATATTTTTTATGCGTCCCTTCCTCCGTCTTTTAAAGACCGCATCTGCCATTGCTATGCTATGTCTATGGGCAGTGGTTGCTTCGCTATTTCGGCGAACCAAGGTGGTTGCCACTTTATAAAAATCCTTTACTGTATTCAATAAAGGTAGGTATCGTAAGTATATTTGTGTCGGTAATTAAAATCAAGTGACAAAATAAATAAAAAATATACTTTTAACCTTGTTTGATATTGAAGTATTGACGTAATACGATAGATTATTTATTGCGCTTAGATATTAGTAAGTACAGGCTTCTAAATTCTCGTATACTTTTTGTTAACTGTGCGGTCAATGACCTGTCATCTTTTGAATGTAAAAGAAATCTTTGACGCCATATTTTTCATAAGCTATAGTCGCTATTGTCGTTTTAATAACTTAAAATTTCAAGACAAAAAATTTATTGCTGTAAATTTCACACCTTTTAGTGTGTTTGGAGTTTTTGTTTATTCGAATTAAATAATCTTCATATAATAGATTTGATTAATAAAACTGCTTTACGAACAACTTGGCCTAAAATGTAAACATCTTTTAATTATTACTAGCTGTCGCCCGCAACTCTGTCCGCGCGGAATTAAAAAATAGCTATAGGTCGCAGCGTAATGTAATTATATAAAGCCTTCCTCTATAAATGGGCTATCCAACAAAAAAAGAATTTTTCAAATCGGACAAGTAGTTCCTGAGATTAGTGCGTTTAAACAAACAAACTCTTCCGCTTTATAATCTTATATATAAAATTCTCGTGTCACAATTTTCGTTCCCATACTCCTCCGAAACGGCTTTACCGATTCTCATGAAATTTTGTGAGCATATTTAATAGGTCTGAGAATCGGCTACTATCTATTTTTAATCCCGCGCGTACGGAGTCACGGGCGACAGCTAGTAATAGTATAGTTATTTGCTTGTTGCTTTACTTTTTTAGATTGCTTGCCATTGCAAAGTTCTGGTACAGACAGTTATGTAATAAGAAAAAAAAAAGAAATAAGTATAATTATGCTTGTTAAACTGCATAACTACAGGCAAAGTAAATATAAGACAAATGAACCGGTTTTACCCACACAGAGACCAATTCACATGAAACTTTATATAGGCTGTGGTAATTCTTAACGTTTTTCCCTAAAGATTGCAACCAAAGATCACTTCCTACAGAACGCGGCTATAGTTATATAAAACTAGCTGTTGCCCGCGACTCCGTCGCACGAAATTAAAGAAAAAAATAATTAGCAGCCTATGTGTTCTTCCAGGCTATGTTCTACAACTATGTCAAATTTCAGCAAATACCATGGAGCTGTTCTGGAAATACCTTCAAACAAACATCTATTCATCCATCCATTCGTCCGTTAAAATATTCGCATTTATAATATTAGTAAGATATCCTCGGAAAATGTTCATCAAAAAATTTGCAACAATAATAAAAAATAACGCAAAAAATTACGATCAACCGAAGTGCAAAATAATTTCATTTCAAAAAACTATTAATTTTTTTCTTTTATGACTTGTCCAAAACAGGTCTGACTTGTCGCTCAGAATTTTTTCTTACACCATGGTCCCAAAGAAAAACTTATACCTTCATAATTAGTGTAACAAAAACTAAACAAACCTGTGTTTCGGGTAGTGAGATGCGATTCCTATGTTTAACCATCTATTATTTTTAAATAAACATTTGTAAATCGGAAATCGAAAAACACATTGGTAAATGGCGGGATTCGAACCCAGGACCTGCAGATTGCAAGTCAAGTGCTTGACCACTTAGCCACCGACGCTCCTTAAGCGTAAGCCGGTTGCTAAGAATAAAATGTCATTGATAAATTAATACTAACGACTTGCAATAGATGCGTCATTATTCAAATTGATTATTATTGTCTTGTAATTACTATAATGACATTTAAGCGAGGCAGCTTTAATTATACGGTCGATAGCAACTTGCCGTTTTTGTTACCAATACTTTTACAGCACAAACACAAAGCGTGACACGATTAAATATTTCTGTGAAAAACAGCAGATGCATCAGCAGATACTCTTACGTCTCCACCGAGGTGCTCGGAGCCTACCCTAAATAATGGACTGACTAGGCCATAGTCAACCACGCTGGCATAGTACGGGTTAGTTGACTTCACACATATCTTTGAAATTCTATAGATATGTGCAGGTTGCATCACGAAATTTTCCTTCACCGTAAAAACATTCGATAAAAGTACATATGGTAATCGAAAATTGAAAAACACATTGATACATGGCAGGATTCTAATCCAGGATCTGCAAATTGTAAGTCAAGTGCTTAACCTCTTAGCCACCGAAGCTGCTGGAGTGTTTAGTCTTAGTGTAAGTAAAACAATAAGTATGGGGAAAAATAGGAACTATGTCAAATTAGACTTTAAAATTCACCAGTTTTTTCCCAGATGCTGTCAAAATGGAATTGATACATACAACGTAATGACATACTTGCCACGTGGCATTGTAATTTATACCGCGATTTCACTTCAAAATTTTAATTGGCTTTGATTTACTAGGCCTAATTTAGTCCTCTTTCCCGTCCCACCCTTTTCTTATAAGGGAAGGATGGGAAGTGGAAGTGGACTTTCCGGATGAGAGGATGCATGGAAAGGGAAAATATTTTCTTTCTGTGCATCCTCTCCTCCGACGATTAAAGGTAGGCAACGCATATGCAATTGCGTATGTCTATGGGCAACGGTCACTTCGCTACTTCAGCGATTTCAGGTGGCCGCTCGCTCGTTTGCCACCTTATGATATAAAAAAAAAAAACTACTACAGAGACCTCGAATAACTTGAAAAAAAAAGGAAGTTGAATTTGAAAACAACAACCTTGGTAAAGTAATTGAGGAGTGCTAATTATTTTAGAGTAGGCTTATAAAGACTTTGTCATTTTTGAGTTTTTATCATATTAATAACTCAGAGTATAAAAATGCTTAACGTGGTTTTCTGAGAGGAAAATCCCCGTTTAAAACATAGTGTTATGTCTTTTTTGTCATAGATAATGACGGCATTTTATACAGAGATTGTGGTCTCAGGAACCTACGGTTAATGAAATATCTATATGACACAATATATTAGAAATAACTTTTACTTTTAGCTTCGGATATGCGAGGTTATAATATCTACATTTTTAAATAATTCTAGAAAGACTTACCAATGTACCTACAGTTCAGTTTATAGCTGACAGTATTAACTTTCCCTCAGAAAATATTATAATATTCTTTGGCTAAATATACGAGCATCCCACGCCCTCTTTGGTCTAATAGCGCTTGCCCAGTTCGTTGAAATGTTGCAGTCCGCTTCGAGAAATAACCGCAGACAACTGAATTGTTAAAAAAAGCATTACCACACAGATTTATAAAATTTTGTAAAAGAGCTTGCTTAGGGTAGTGGCCAGTGTTTTCGTTCAAGCAAAAAGGTTACTTAAATCGTTAGTGTAATTTATGACAATTAAAATAATTTATGTTAAAGTACAAATTATATATATTGCTCATAAAAATCTTTAAGGGGTATCAAAATATTTAGTAATAAAATTATTGGCTTAGTTAAATTCCTTATTTACTTTTTAAATACCAACATTTTTGGTAATCGACTTTTCTCACTTTTAACGTTAATTTTGACTAACATTGAACGCTGGGTTTACTCAGCATTAAATATCACTTTTTTGTTAGAAGATATTTACTCTATGACCATAACATAGAAATCATTAAGAGTGTTTATTGCATGTAATAATTCGTTAGGCGTTATTTTTATTTTGTAATGAGAAAAAACTACAGCATTCGTATTTTTCTGTGGCGTAAAAGATTATTTAAATATATTATTACATTTAAATAATTTTTTTACGAACTCATGAATACAGTGATGGATGACTCGACCAATAAAAAAACCAAGTTATTAACAATTTTTATTTTTTAATCCATAAATAATTCGTCATAAGGAATAGTCGCAAGAAACCTGTTGACGTATGTAAATAGCGGTCCAAAAACTGCGGCACGATACGCGTCCCTGGTCAACACATGTAATTCCTTGTATCTGTCTTGATCGAAATGAACCAGCGCTTGACCTAAAAAGTGTAATATAAACTCTATTATAACCTAATCTGAATTAAAAAAAAAAAACAGAAATCATGATGAATAGCGCCATCTATTAGGCGATTTTAAAAACAAAATTTATATTAATTGAAATTAAATAATTCATGATTCTTAAATGAATATTCTATATGTATGTCAAATTTCAGCTGCATCCGTTCTGCTGTTTTGGAGATATCCTTATACAAAAATCCATCGATCCATCTAAACATTCGCATTTATATATTACTAACATTTACACTTACGAGAAGAAACTGCATCTGGCGTAAAGCGATAAAAAGCAAAATCTATAGGCTCCTTTGGCTGTCCGGAAACAACGTGTTTTTGGATAGCTAAGTGATGCTTTCCGTCTTTTCCTAAAATCTTCTCGATCATCGTATTGAAGTTTATAAAATATAAACCTATAAAATATAAACCAATCACTGCAGTTAGTAGAAAAACCTCCTTAGATAAAAACGTTCACTGGTAGCAAAATGAGCACTAAAAACATTTAAAAATAGGGACCTAAAAATCATGAGTATTCCAAAAAATGATTACGTTTTCTGATTTAAAACTATCTTTATTAACTAAATTACAATTTTTAATCTGCTTAAATTGACCTTCAGAAAGGCAAAGGCGGGTCAAGGTCCTATAAAAAAGATTTGTTAGCCTTCAGTTTGTGAAAAAAAGATCAAATTTTTAAATAAGGAACAATATGTATTAAGTTTTAACCAGTAATAAAGCTGTTATCTTTATCTTTATCTTAAGATTTAACTATAAAGTTCATTTTTGACAGATAAAAAAGTCTTAATTGATGCGCAATTTTAATTCACTGAATATAGGAGTTATTTTTTTCGAGTCCACAGAAAAAATTATTATTTAACATATTTATTAAAATATTTAAAAATATAATACCGGCCATTTTCCTTTTTTATGTCTAAGAGGAATTATGAGATTTTAAATAATAGAAGATTTCTTGATTTACGACGTGGTTAAATACTTTTAGTAATAGCAGATAACCTCAAAATAAATGGTATTTTTTTCCAATTCTCAGTAAATTCTCCTTCGGAAAATTATATTAATCACTGTAATCTATACATTATGAGGAACACATCGATATTTTCTCACTGTTCACAGGTAAAAGGAAACATAAAAAAGAAATGATTTTTATAAAAAAAAATATTTGAGTTGAATTGCCAGTTTCATTTATTTTTCTTTTAAACAGCTATGATTTAGAAATAAGTTTCTAATGCACTTAAGAAACGTTTGTAATTTGCAATACCAAAATCTTACCTGTGGTGACTTTGTAGGTACCATTCCTTTTTAATGGCAAATTAACAAGTTCTCCTGCGACTTCATAGTGCCCTTGTATTATTAATGAAGGACATTTTATATCAAAGAGTAAAGTTGACAAATCCAAATTCAATCTAAAATCACACGTAAATGGTTTAATGGACAATAATAAAAGATTTCAACCTCTTTTTACATTTATTTTTGACGAAATCGTCGCTACTTACCTTTACCTTTTTTCGTTCTCGCCTACGTAATAAAAGTAGGTTAAAGTATTTATGAAAACTTTGTGTAACTGTTTAGGGATTACATCAGTAATATTTGTACGATAAAACACATTCAATCATGGAGACTAGGGTTCGAATCACACTATTCGTCTATCGTAAACCATAGGAATGGTAACAACAATTATTAGAAAAGTATTATAATAAAAATCTATTATCTTTTTTTTTTAATAGGAGAAGGGGACAAACGAGCAACGAATCGAAATCTTTATTTTTAAATATTGTTCGTTCTGTAAGTTATCTATATGAGATAAAGGCGAATCCACGTGCTGGACTTAAAAATAACAAGAAAAAAAAACTGGTAGCAAAAATTTTGGATAAAATGACAGAGAAGGATGCCGTATAAAACATTACAGCAAGATTTTTGTGAAAAAATCTAATAATTTTTGACATTAAAATGCGTATACTTACTTAATATGATTAAAATCACATCTTGCAAACCCTGTTATAGAGTTATTGGTGAATTTGTACGTAAGTCTTGCACTGTCACCTTCAAAGTCATTGGCTATTATTGGATCGATGCTTTTAATATTTAAGGATGGTATACCTCCTGATATGTATTTAAGAAAATGACTAGCAGATTCAATCATGCAAATCTCATCATTCTTCCTACATCGTTTTATATCATAATCTAAAACAAATAAGAACATCAAATTCTTCTTTATTTTTTAAATATTGTTCGTTCTGTAAGTTTTAAGCGTTTAAATCTTACTTCTTACTGTATCTCAGAATGTTACTAATATAATATAATAAACACGAAAGTTTAGATGGATAGATGTTTGTTAGATATCTCCGGAATGGCTGAACGGATTTTGATAAAATTTGGCATAGATTTAGAACATAGTCTAGAAAATATATAGGTTACTAATTAAGTTATTTTTACAAGACGGATAGTTACTGAAATAAATAAAATTTAATACTTACTTGAACTAGACTTTATCAGCTCGAATAGAAGACAAAATGAGAGCAAACAAATTTTCCACGAGCACATTATTGCAACCATATATTCTCGTTGTCCAAAATGAAATAAATGGAATACAGACATCATACAAGTTTCTTTGAATTAATTATTTTTTTCCTATCCTGGTCAATGAATTATAGTAATAAATGGGTATATATTGCATTTGCGTTTATGAGAACTTTATGTTATTTTTTATTGTTTTTTTTTAAGTATTTCTACCTTATTTAATTCTTTATCTTCCATAAATTATTTTATTCATGTTCATTAAAATTTTAAATGTTAACATTATCATCGAGGCCAGTCAATTTAAGGTAACAATTTGTATGGAGCTGAAAATTGCTAGGAATTTAGATAAATAATATACGAGTTTAAAGTTTAATCGTTACATCAGGATCGGTGACTCGTTAAAAAAGAAAGAACAGGATTTAAACAGGTAAATTTTTAATCTACACCTAACCCTGATAACAAGAAACCCCAGGATTTTAGGATCTTTGCAGAATCGATGAGGTCTTTTTACGAAATTTTAGTAATTTTTAGCTCTAAGCAAATTATAGATAATAGCTTTCCTACATTAACTTCGCTTAATTTGACCAGCGTATTATCATTACTAGTATTTTGTTTTTCATCTTTTTAATTTTTGTAGTTTATACCAGAAGTCAAAAAGCAGTTTAAATCGGGTATAGATTCTGGACATTTCTGTTTGAGGCCTTGAGTATAAATGTCCTTTGTAAATGTCACAGCAAACAGTACTGGTTTCATAGTCAACAAATATTATTTGCATCATAGCCTTCCTTTGTTTTAATTTCATTTATTGTTAAATATTGCATTTGGTCCAACTATTATTTGTTTTGTTTGCAGCGATGAAATAAATGTTAGATGTAGCTCTCATTTTATTGCTTTTATTTATGTGATTAAATCCATATTATGTAAAATTTAGTCTGAGTATCAGTAAATTCAAAACTCGTTTTAAGCTAATATTATAAAATGTTATAAACTCTATTTGTTTGGTTTCTAAGCAGTGTTTATTTTGGGTGTTTAGTGTGGGTTTGAGTTTTGGCCGGTAAATTGCGTGTGTGTAACAAAGTCAACACTTTTTTACATATTTTTAGGTTACAATGCGATAGTGTGAAATAGGTTTTACTTTTTAAAATAAAATAGTGAAATATTAAACTTTATTTAATTAACTTAAGAAAACTAATGAATAAACAAATTGTCAATCGGCGTAGTTTTAAGCAATTGGTTGATGGACTTTGATAGATATTTGAAGTGAACATCATGAACAGCGTCTTGAAATGGTGCCATAACTTCTTTATAATGTTCATGTGCAAATGCATGAGCAGCGTCCGCTGGAAAACAAAGATACTAAATTAAATAAACAGTCTCTAGTGAGTTTCGATTGCCGTGTCACTTACAGACATATATTCTTGTTCCTCTTTAATTCAAAGGTATTGTAAGGGATGACAAAATTTAAATTAAAACAGTCAACACTGTGTCACCAGCAAATACGCAGATATTTTAGTAGCTAAGACGTCTGAAAGAGGCATTTTCACATGAGAATGTTTAAGTAGACCGATTGTAACTAGGATTAATCTTTGCCAAATGTAACTAATCGTATCTCAGGACCCCGACTGGCCGCCGACCCATCGGTCGGCCCAGGTACCGCTGGCGAGATGCCGCAGAGCTGGATCTGTGGGAGTTACAAACGATGGACTGGCAGGAGAAGGCTTAAGATAGGCGACTTTGGCGATCTCTTGTGTCGTCAAGTAGTAAGTAAATGTAACGTTCGCGATGCAACATTAGAGCTAGTATGTATCTGATAATGAATAAAATCGGCATTATCTCATTCTTCTTAGTTCTTTTGTTTTCTTTACATGACTGGTATGATTCATGACGTTATGAAAAAGAACACCATTTTCTAGTAATTCAAGATTAGCTCAATTAGTGCTATTAGCTAGATTAGTGAATTAATTTCTGAATCAAAAAAGATAAATATATTGCAACAGACTATTTTATTTTTTATGTTATACTACTTTGATGTTATACTTACATAATTCTTTTTGACCATTAAATAAGTTGTCGTACTGAAATTTAATTGGTTCTAAAGCTTCAGAAGTGTGTTTGAATTTCTTTATAGCCAAATATGTTTTTCCATCTTCACCAGTAATTCGTTCCAAATCAAAGTCCACGTGTATCAAATAGATACCTAAAATATTATACATTAAAATATTTATGTTCACTAAATACTTAAGATTTTTATAGACGTAGAATCTGCAGCCGCTTTGAATATTGCACGAATGGCCAGCTCTATCTGTGCAATACAGAGACCATTTTAAGACAAACGTAAAGTCAAAATAATTCCGCATTTTGTCTGATGAGTGTTCGTTTCGGATACGAAATTTTCATCTTTTTCTTCTTACGAAGGTTAGATTACATTAGGGGCTTATATAAAGGGCATGGGAGGAAGGGGTCGTATATTCAGACCCTCCGTGCCAATTGAAGGTGGGCAAACTATCTGTAACCTGTTATCTTGCTGCAGATGTCTATGGGCAGTATCGTTTCGCTATTATAGCGAAACACGATGGTCACCTGCTTATTTGCCATTTCAAATACTATGAAAAACTTTTTTTTATTTACCTGTGCTTGTTTTACCTAGTCCTTGCCCTTCTAAATGAAGTGATAATAGATCACCAGAGACAAAATAATGCCCAGACAGCTCTAACGCTGGACATTTCAAATCAAATTTTAATTTTAGAGAATCCATATTTAACCTAAAAACAACCAGAATTTCATATTCAAATTAGTCATGTGGTTCTTTGAGAGCTTGCGAAGCATAGTAAAATTAATTGCAGCCTTACTAATAACATAAATGCGAATATTTGGATGATATAATGGCGCTGATTTGGCATAGATGGAGAACATATAGACCACTAATAAGGTTTTTTTTAATACCGTGCGGACGGAGTCGCGAGCGGCAGCGAGTTAAAAATAAGGGAACGGAGAAATAAAATACTTACATGACATTTTGAACTTCACATTTCGAATATCCAGTCATAGTTGTATTTTTGTACGTTAATGTAATGTTTGGAAGTTTAATATCGAGTAAATCAATTTTCATTGGGTCTATAGATTCGATCCCCAAAGATGGAACACCTTGTCCTAGGATTCGCATCCCTATATTTGCTGATTTTATCATACATTCTTCATCATTTAATTTGCATGGAACGATTATGGAGTCTGAAATAGATTAGGTATTTATTGACATTATTTGTTGGAATTCATTGGCGCGAATGGCGCGCTTTCGTTATCAAGTGTCAGAACGATTCGTGATGGGACATAAACGTTGATAGTTTAATAAACTAGTGTTGCGCCGATACATCCGCACAGTGTCGAATTTTCTTCCTAACAGTATGTAGGCATAATAAAGAGCACTAAAAATCGTCGTGTATGTATGCGTAGATGTATGAATCGATAGAGGTGTGTCAGGCAGGGACAAATGTTCCTAGAGATGTGACTCTTGGATTCATAAAAAGTGTAGTGACATCTATCTTAAATATTATTAATAAGATGTTAAGATATTGGGTTACTAAGTATTATCTTACTAATATTATAAATGCGAATGTTTGGGTGGATGGATAGATGTTTGTTTGAAGGTATCTCCAGAGCGGCTGAACGGATCCCGTTGAAATGTGACAGAGATGTAGAAGATAGTCTGGATGAACACACGGGCTACTAAGTTTTTTTAGTTCCACGCGGTCAGTCTTGGGCGTCCGCTAGTTATAAATAAGATTCCAGTATAGTTAGTACAGTTTAAGTGAAATTGCGTGAGTACCAACGGAAGATTTCAAGAATAACTTACTTGGAATACTGTTTGCACCGAAAATGAAGAACAATGAAAATAAATATAAAATTAAACTAAACATTTTGAACAACTACCCACGTTCAGTATACTAGTTTCAATGAATTAAAATTTTGCTCAAATTTAAACCTATTTATGCAAAGTTATTATTTTGAATTTCATTAAGTTTTTTTTTTTACTTTGCAAAGCTATACATGAATATTTACGTACATAAGATTAAATCTTTATAATTATAATAAAAAAAAACATGGAATAGTTATTTTTCATAATTATTTATCTAAATATATTTTTCACACACACACACACACGCACGCACACACACAGACACACTTTCTCACATACACATAATCATACACACACACATGCTATCCTTTGATATTATTTGCAGTTCAAAATTACTTAGTTTAATGTCTTATAATATCACGCTTAGTTTTACATGATATGTACGTACTGTTATTTTGTTTATGGCTAGTGCACTCCTAGGCCCCGAGATACAGGCTCAGCCTAGTTCGGGGTCTGCAAGATACTTTACTGTATATTATTCTAACGTGTTTTTGTTAAATAATTTAATTATTATTTTTATATTTCGTGAGTGGCACACGGGTTTAGTACTTGACTTGTAATGTACAGATCCTGGGTTAGATTCCCACTATGTACCAATGTGTTTTTCGATTTACATATGTACATTTATCCGACGTTCTTACGGTGAAGGAAAACATCGTGATGCAACTGGCATATGTGTGCAAAAACTAGCACGTACTGGGCCAGCATATGGCCTTATCCCTAACTTAGGGTAGGCGCCGAGCCCCTCGGTGGGGACGTATAGTGAGTAGAATGATAAATTATAAACCTATGAACCAAAAGGTGTACGATTCTATAAAAAATTAAGATTTAACCAAGTTTTGTCTTTGCTGTCGCTTTCTTCTCCGATGTAACCGACGTGTATGCGTATTTCAGAATAGCTAATAGATACGGTTGCCTTTTTGACTTATTTAATATAATATAAACAGAAGTCGTAGGGAAGTGACACTTGTATTCCTGACAAATAAATTTTTGCAATAGTTCTATAGGTCCGACTTAATTACAAAATCATGATTTTACTATACATAGTACAATTTAACATTTATCAATGCGTCCTATTTATGCCAAAAATTCCGTTTGAATGTCAATGAAGAAAAAAAATTAGCAAAGCTCGGTCTTAGTCTTATCGCGGAGTCGTCGGCATATACAAAAATATTGAATATAAATTGAATTCGGTGAAGTTTTTTAGACAACGATAAACGTATACAAATTTAGGCTCTACCTCCGATCCCCGCGCAGTCGAGATAAAAGGAAAGTTTGCACAAAATGGATCGGCGGAGAGTTTTATCAGATTTTGGCTGAATTTGTTCGTGGGAATACACATTTAGGGAGTCTTATCTCGCAAAACTTTATATTTTACGCACGCTTTTTAATTAAAATATCTTGTTTATACTAGGTGTATTGTTAATGTAACGTTTAATCGAATTGAAAATGCTTAGACAAGTTTTGAAGAAGATTTTTGATGTTAAAAGTTTTTACTTTTGTATAATATTTTAAATAAGTTATTTCTTTTAGACTTGATTATTCCATTTACAAATTCTCAGTACAGAAAACAACACTAAAAACATATTACTAGAAATGAGTAATGGTTATGGAATACTAGCTGTCGCCTGCGACGCCTTCTGCTCGGTTTAAAAAAAGGCAATTAGTAGCCTATGTGTTCTTCCAGATATAGCCAACTTTTCCAAGATCCATGCAGCCGTTCTGGAGATTCTATCCTTGCATATATCTAAAGATTTGCATTTACAATATTAGTAAGAAAGGAAGAATTGAATACTAGTTAGTTTTAGACATTATTAGTTCGAATCCTTTGGCGTGAACAACGTGCTTTCGTTACAAAGTCCAGTGTCAGAATGAACAGTGAGGGGACACAAACGTCGACAATTTCGTAAGGCTAGTGTTGAGTCAATACACTGGCCCATTTCCGGATTTTCTTCTTAACACTAATAATAATTTTTAATGTACGCAGCATTGTTATAAACGTAGCCATTATATTGTGTAAAATTGCCAAATATTTTAGTCCTTTTTTTTTACTAAATTTTAGTCGGAAAAATAAAATGAATTTTACTCAAGCGCAAACTTTTTATCCTCGCTAAAATTATTTTATGTAAATCACGGAAAATAAAATTTTTACTAGTATTAGTTGACGTCATTTGACGAAGGTTAATTTATTTAGCATATAAGTAAGAGTTTTGTTAGTTTTTAAGCCAGCACCTTTAATGATTGCTATCTTTTACTTACTTATATAATACACTAGCAGTTGTCCGCGATTTTGTCAGTGGAATTAAAAAATCTAATAATAAATATAGCTTTTATATATAGTGAAATAATTTTTCAAAGCGGTTATGTCATTTAAGAGCCTATTCAATGCAAACAAACAATCAAATGTTAGTATATATATAGTATATATATATTTATCTATAATAAATTATGAAAAATATTGTCTAGTAAAATGTTATTTATGTAACAACCTTAGTATTGCTTAAATTAATCTTTTTTTCATATATGGATATTTTTGTTAAAATTAAGAATTAATAAAAGCGACATCTATCGGGCATTGGCTGAACTATTAAGCGCGAAAGCCTTCTACTTCGACAGAGCCTTCCGTAGTTGTGATTTTCATATTTATGTAACTTAATTAAATGTTATTTTATTCGTATTTACGTAAAATTATACGTTTGAATTATTAAAGCTCTTTTTAATGTTAAACTTTATGTTTGTAAAAAATATTACGACTCTTTTTTTAAGGAAATTGCGATAAAAGTCAAAATATTGATACATTAATACGAAGTGTTTTAAAATATTTTATTAATTCTTTCCTAACGCGTTCAATTGTAATACAGAAAGTTATATTTATTAAATTTACAGAAATTCTATAATTTTTTAAAACAGAAAACCACTTACATTTTATGTTAAGTATTATTCTGTCAGTACTTACTTTCAACCGCTGTTTGTTAAAATGGAACAGTTTTATTTCTGAAAGCATTCCATAATAAATTGCGGAATCCCATTAAATTCGTCTGCAAAAAAAATGTTTTTGCTCGTTGCAAGATGATGTGTGGCCTGCGTCTACGCACGTCATTGTTTGGTAATCCCTGTCGGTTGCGTGCCGACAAAAAATGTGGGAACTATAGTGTTCTTTTAAGGGATGTACTTTGGACGTAAGAATCGTGTCGATAAAGTGTCGATAATATCTGTCTGTGTGTACGCATGTTCTGCTTAGCGAGAATCCAAATTAAAACAATACTTACTCTTTCCAAGGATCATTGGTTGATCAACTTTATGAAAACCTTGTTAAACACAAGTCATCGTAAATTTTAATAAAAATTTATAATTGAGGAATTATTCTAGTGTAAAAAAAGGTTTTTGTAAGTATCATTGGATTTGTTTTCTCTATGATTCATTATAAATCAATTTGTGAACTTTACATAAAATTTAATATCGTAACAAATTTTAGCGTAGTGTTATCGATAACCCATCATTGTCGATTACAACATTGACGCGACGGCACATCACTATTTAGTTTGTCCCAAACTTAACGGGTCGATTCAACAGACAGAATAATGACGTGCCCACCTCCGGCCACCATTCAGGCCCACGTTGACAAAGGCATGGCAAATAGCCATTATTGCAGTTGTCGGGGGTTTCTATTAATATGATAGGGCAGGCGATTATTGCTGTAAAGCTTTGCAACAAGAATTCATGTTTGTTACAATATTCCTGTCACCGACCGTTAATTATGTTTGAGGATATTGTTTGTACAGTTCATGAATTAATTACATAATGTTATTTACTAAATTATCATAAGTAAATGCTCTTTAATAGTTGTTGTTATATTAGGGAGAATATAGTGAAGTCTATTAGTGAATTTATTACGAGCGTCGGTGGCTCAGTTATTAAGCACTTGACTTGCAATCTGCAGTCTTTGGGTTAAAATCCCGCCATGTACCAAAGTGTTTTTCGATTTACATATATATATTTACCCGACGTGCTTATGGTGCACGGTTACAACCTCCATATCCATGCGAAGAAAGGCAAAGACACGTGTGAAGTCAACCAACCCGCACCTGGCCAGAATGGTTGACTATTACCTAGGAACCGTTAATTTAGCGTAGGCTCCAAGCCCTTCGGTGGAGTCGTATGTTCAGCTGATTATGATACTAATTTAAACAAGCTTTTTAATGTAATAACCAGTGTCATTATTTATCCTTTCATTCGTAAAGTAAACTTGGTAAAAAATTACAAGGATCAAACGTACTTTTACTATACTATTCCTGCTGAATATGACATACAAGTATCAAATCCAGGTAAAGAATTAATGCTTGCGCATAAATCTTTAATAATGTGCAATGATCACAACAGGCAATAAATAAAACCCGCCTACTTTACAATGCCATTGTTATATTTGATCCTGCCCACTTACATGAGCATCTTTAAAATCCGCAAAAGTAAATTTTATAACGTCACAGCTTTATGAGAAACTGAAAAATTATACTACTGACGATTGAAGGGAATGAATGGAAATAGTAAAAGTGTTATATTTTTGAATTGAATTACGTAGTTTGCGGCTCAATTTAATGTAAAAAGAATGATTGTATTATTCTCAATAAAAACTTAGAAACAATTTGTAAATAAATATTTAATATAACTTTCTACAAGAGTGTAGTTGAAAAAAATCGTTGTCGGGTCCCAAAGCTTTTCTTACAGCGATTAATCCTCACGATAAGGGGCACAAAGACGTACAAATGTGTGCCGAACAGATTCCAGATCGAAAGCCGATAAACTTACTTTTAAAGTAGAAAATGGTTTTTGTTGTGTTACCTATCAGAGATCTCTGGAGGATTGTTTGTTGTAGCACGTGTTTTGACGGCGATTATGCGGCCATATTGCGGGTTCGTCAATACATCGAGACGTATGTTGTGATAGAATCAAATATAGATAAAAAATATTTCAAGAAACTGAATTATATCCAGATGAACATTTATTAGCAAGATTTAACCACAGAAAC